GTAGTACTTGAATTTTATTTATTTTTCTACATATCCATATCACTTAAAATTTTAGATGTATGTTCTTCTCATCAAGACGCACCTAATAAAAATATATATAAAAAAAATTATTAACAAAAAATGACCAAAATACCCCCCAAAGCTTTTCGGGGGTATTTTGATTAATTTATTTCATGTAAAATATTTTTATGATATTTTTCGAAGATTCACCTATTTTTTATGAACACACGCCTAAAATTTCAAGTGATTTAGATTTCTAGAAAAAAAAAAAACTAAAATTCAAATACTACCAGACATTCGTGGTAGTCAGATCGGCCCAAAATCAATCTGAGACGTTGGGCTCATATGTTCATATGAGCTAATGGGCTAATCCCATCTTTTCCATATATATATATAATTTAATTGGCACCACTATGATTAGAGGTCTAGTGCTCCACTCTATATTAACACTATAATGCACACTATTTTCGTGGCACACAAGTTTTGATCGATGAAACCCGAGATGGCATCAACACAATGTTAAAACTTCAGAGAGAGGAACTAGAATCTAAATGTTTTAAATTAGCCAAACAAAGATAGATTATATGGAATGCAAATTTAATAATAATAAGAGTAGAGACGAGGGCGTAGTTAAGCTTGTCGACTAATAAGTACCGAAAAAGTGTACTTTTAGTATCTTAGGTCAATAATCTAGGAAAATAAAGATATTGAGGAAGGCGCATATAATTAGATCTGAATGAGCAAAGTGGATATGGGCAAGTAGAGTTTTTATGCGATCGATGCATACCAATGAAGCTAAAGGATAAGTAGGATAATTGTGATACCAGCTTTGCTTTGTGGGGTGGAATGTTTGGCGGTCACAAAACAACATACCATAAAATGAGTTTAGTTGAGACGGATGAGTGGCAAGACAAAAAGAGATTGAATTCAAAACGAATACATTCGGGAGAATTTAAGTGTAGTACCAATAGACAATAAGATGAAAGAAAGTAGAGTTAGGTAGGCTAATATTGTGCTGTGCAGACCAAGTACAACACCTCTTAGGAGGTACCAGTTAGTTCAAGTAGAAGGCTAAAAAATGGCAAAGAGTGGGCCAAATAGACATGGTTGAATGTAGTGAGAAAAGATACGCGGACATATGGCCTTACTGAGTGTGTAACCCTTAACAATATAGAATGATGGACTAGGATTCGTGTAGCCAACCCAATTAATTAGGGAAATGCTCTGACGATTATGATGATAGTTGCTATCTTTAGCCCAAAAGTCTATTGTCATTTATTTGTAGGTCAATGTTACCAAGATCACATCCCCAACTAACTTTTTGTCAATTGTCTATTTGGGGTGGTCATAGTCTACAATAGTGTTTTAGAATTCGGATTAGTAGGGTGGATCGTTCACCTACAGATTCATGTTGGATCATTGGATCAGTACAAATCGATGATCAACAAAATATTTAAAAATAAAAAAAATAAAATAAAAATTGAAATAGGGGTTCATGCGATGGTGACTTGGAGGAGGCATAAGAAAACACTAGATAAGTTTTAATATATGTACATATAAAGCGGTTTTTTAAGGTGGAACGGAGCTGGGATCTATACCATCCCAGAACTGGTTCAGCCCCAACAATTTCCATCTGGATTGGCAATAAAGGATAAGAAATCGTCATGAGGTATTAAAATGCTGATTTACAGGAAGAGATGCATATAGTTGGGAGAGAGAGGAGGCATTGTTAGTAAGGTTTAGTATACTTTCGTTGAGAGAAATTATGATACTAAATTCCATACCTTCTATAAGGGGCATGCAAGCCATCACATTCATTATTTACTGTTATTTTGGAGCTACGACTTCCAAAATAGCGAGCAATTTGGAGGTACTTGTTTTGTGAAAGAGGGGGTTGCCAAATTTGGAAGCCACAACTCTTCCACAAAGTTCAAAAGCTTAGGCTTGCTAGAATCCGCGGTTTCCAAATTGTAGCTTTACTCCTGTGTATTAACCGCAAAAGTATTACAGTTTGTGAAAACCCTGGTTTCTGACTAAATTAAGGTGGGGCATGAATATTTGTAAATTATACATTCCACCAATCAAACGCTCCATACCTTTTAACCTCTTCCCCTCATCTAAAGGGCATCAGTGTCATATAAAAATAAAAATAATAAAAATAAAAATCAATAATCAATGAAAAATTACATAACACAATTATAACAAAAAATTTCACACAACATAATCCAAAATAATAAAAATAAAAATCAATAATTAATGATAAATTACACAACACAATTATAACAAAAAATTTCACACAACATAATCCAAAATAATAAAAATAAAAATCAATAATCAATGATAAATTACACAATACAATTATAACAAAAAATTTCACACAACATAATCCTCATAAGAGATTACTAAAATCTCAATTGAAATAACATACCTCTTTAGTCTTCTCCAATACCTCACAATTTTATACTGCAATTACCAAACCTTTTAGTTTACTAATTAAACTTATTCCCATTTTTTAATTCGTACTGTACAGATTAGTATCATAAATTTATTGTTTATTTGAAGTTATATCGAGAGACACTTGAAAGACTTCTACATAAAAAAAAATAAAATAAGGCTTACCATAATAAAATCATGCTATTCCAATCATATTGTTGCAATGATTTATCATGTTGAACCCAATGTCATATTAGAAAACATGTGATTGCATATAAGTGCCAAAGGCACTTAAAATAAGAAGAAAATAGTGTCATGACTGTAAAATGGTATAAGTTATTATTAAAAAATCTTTTTGGAATGGCGATATTGTTATTATTAAATTTTTTTTTGAAATAATGTGATAATTATTTTAATCTAGTATTTTAGTGGAATTTTGTGACAAAAAAGAAAGAAATGATAATTCTGCATTTTAGAGGAATTTTATGACAAAAAGAAAAGAAATGATAGTTTATAGGCATGTGCTAATAAAATGTTGGTAATACATTTCCTATTTCTTCCCAACATAGCCAAACAATAACAATGTATTTTTCAAGTTGCATCTAAATACTATCCAAACAATAACAATCCATTTACAAATAATATACTATGTCAATAACATATTTAACAGACCATATATTTTCAGGTATAAAAAAGCCCCTTAAAAAGAAATCATCAGCATACTACAAAGGGCTTAGCATACTTTCATTTAACTTTCGAATCATTGTTGTGATACTTTTCATAACGGTTGTCCATTAAATGTGCTTTGAGCAATACTCTACAAAACTCAACTCATGCAACATATGCAGAGAATTGAAGTTTTGAACTCTGAAGGACATGAACAACAGGAAGCCCTCTTTAACAGCGAATAAGAAATAGACGTGTGGCTCTTCTATCTACCAATACAAACTCTCCGGTTCTATAGGAGAATTTGCTCATTTTGACAAAATTACCACCATCATATGTTCCAATGACACATTTGTATATGTAGAAATAAAATAGGAGCTTATATTATGCTATGAACAAGCCACTTGTTATTTTTACATTGTTCTTTTTTTCCTCATAATCAATTAATTAGTTTTTGTTCGTGCCGTTTATATAGTTTCATTAAGGGCATGGCTAAAAAAAGACAAAAAAATAAGCCCAAAAAAATATAGTTGGAAGTAGTGAGAAAATATATGGGTATTTAAAAATATTTTTTTCTGTATTTAAAGTAATTTATTGAAAATTATATATTTTTAACAAAAATAACTAAAAATAGTAAAAAAAGTATATAATATTATATACATAATATACAACGCAAACACGTAACAAAATGATATTATGTAGAATATGTCAATTTCAAATAAGATAAGATAGTTGTCATTCAAACAAATATCAAAATATAACTTACATTATTACTAAATTTCAATTAAATATATAGATAGTGTGCACCTTTGGCCCTATCAATATTTAAAAGAGAAAACATAGGTTCCATGATTATATTTAATATTGGGATTGTATACAATGATACCATTTACTTTTTATATAAGGTGGTCACAATTTCTTACAATCATTTGATGGAAATTTGATAGCTTGGATGTATCACAAAATTTGAAAAAATTTCTTTTGAAGTTTGAGCATAATAATTGTAGCTACCGAACTTTACATCCAATAGTCAAGATTATTATGACCACTTAGTATAAAAAGTAAATGGTCTCATTTTATATTTTCCTTTTAATATTTTAGTTTTAATGTTTTTTCACAAATTGGATTGACTTAGACAATTTTTCCATCTAAATGCACCTAAATAAAATATAAAAAATAAGTTTGAAAATATTAAGTAAAGTTCCCCATAAACTTAAGGAGAAACATCCTAATAACCCCCAAAATTGGGATCAATATCCCAATATGCCTCTACATAAGTCTTTTATTTATTTAGTATTTATTCATTGAGAAAAAAGGTCAAGGGTGACTAAGTCAATTGAGAAAAAAATGAGGGCTGTTTTCGGTAATTGTTTTGGATATTAGGGAAAGATGGGCTTGAAAGCAAATGGTGCTCTACTACATCTCGGTTGATCTCAACCAGGTTTTTTTGAGATCTCCACTGCTGTTTCTCTGTCTAGAAATCCCATTTCGGAACCCTAATTTCTCTCTTTCTCAGTTACAGGTAAATTAAGGTTTCACAAAGCTTTAAGCAGGAACGAAAATGGCTGCCGGGAGGGCCATTCATCACCTGATGAGGAAGTTGCAGTCCCAGTCGACTGTAAGTTCCTCTGTGTCTCAAATTTTTGTATCTCTCTCTGGAAATGGTTTGGCCCAACCATGGATATATCAGTACCGATCTGCCTGTTTCCTTTTTGATGAACTGTTTCAAAAAATGTAGAAAGGTTTTGTGGTACTTCCTAGCAACTAGTCATGTAGTATATGGAGAACCACCTCTCTCTCTCTCTCTCTTACCGCTAAATCTGGAATTTCCTGTTTTGGGTTAACATTAGCAAATTCTGTGTGAACTTTCAACGGATGATAGAAACGCTCGCTATATTGGGAAAGAATGGTTCCTCGATTGGTTTCCTGCTTTGTTTGATAGAAATTAGGGCAATATCTATACTGAATTGAAAAAATAACGTCTTTAGGGCTCATGTGTTTTACTTTTTTCTTCTTCTGAAAGTTAAAAGGGCTCCTGTGTTTTCTATCATTATCACCACCACCACCACGATCATCATCATTACTTCTGAATTGGAAGATCATGGAAAATGGATTTTGTATTGTCTGTACATCTGTTACATGGATAAATAGAGTAATTTATATCTTTAAAGTTGTTTCCTTTTCTTGTTATGTTTCTTCATTTTTTACTTATTGCTAGGTTCTAGCATTTCTTGCAATTGAAAAATTAGAACATTGCTTGGGGTGGTGAGAAAGTGAACTCAAGAATATTTTCCAATCCAAGTCAGTTTAGCAGTCAATGCCAGGTATGTGGCTCCATGAGGGAGCAGAATCCAAACCTATGAATTTTTGGAGTTAGTAAAGCTCTAATGATTGAGTTTCTTTAAGAGGTAGTATGGGGTTCCTTTCACAGGAAGGATAGACATGGTTTGTTGATTCAGTAGTGGAATCAAGCTCTAGTAAGGTTTGTATTCAATTGATTTGAGAATCTAATGATTCAACCGATCTATTTTTCTGAATTCTGATAATTAACTGCTTTTCATTAATGTGAAATAGTATACATTGATTTGTCAATTACAGACAAAATGGGATGTATATATCGTAGAGGGATCACAAAGATGGCCGAACGATCAGTTGCTGGTCCTATAGGCTAGCTGTTACTAATTTTTTTTGCAATGTGATATTGTTCTTATGAGTCCACATATCAATTCTTGGTAAAGCATAACTCAGAAATGCATATTAATTTTCAGGATTGTCTTTGTTAATGATGTGGATGAAGAGGGGTTTTTTCTGTAAGAATATATTTCAGTGGAGATATTGTATATCAATATAAAAGGAAGTGGATTGTTTAGCATCAATTATAGTAGTTATTAGACAAGTTCTTTTGCTAGGTCACCTCTAGAGAAGATGGTGGTGCATCAGAAATTTAAGGATCTTCAAACAAGTTTAGGTAGATCCTGAATTTTGCATACGAATGGACAACTTAATTGAAGGTGGTTATGATTTCCTCGACCTCCTCACATGATGAAATGGGAGGATGAGGATGCTCTTTACCAAAAGTGTTTAAGTGGGCATAAATGCCATTAGGAGTATCACGTAATAAATGATTATGTGCTAATATAACAGGAAATTTTTGGTCTTTTGAATAGGTCAACCATTAGAAAAAATAAAAAATTGATGATTGATTTCTTCTGTATACTCAGGTTATAGTGTTGACCTGATGTGTGTCAAAATGATGACATAAAATATTCAAAAAATAAAAATGAAATAGTAATAATGCATAAAATTTTGCATAATAATATGCTTACGATACAACATAATATCTGATATGTAATATCACTATTTTAAAATTTCAGCCGCCAATGAAAACTACAACTCTTCTTTCTTGAAATATCATGTGGCGTCTTCCGGTTTTCTTCCGATCTTCTTGGAGCTCATGATTCATCTTCCACGAGTTTATTTCATTAAGAGCCACTTTACTGAGTTTTTATCCAGTAGAACATACCTGGTACATTTATTACAATGTAGTTTAAATTCAATATGAATATTGCTAACAAATATGAGATCCCTTTATATCAAATTAATTTATGCATAAGATTTATATGAAAGTCAGATGCGATACTCATATATGTATGCTTGTCCTAGGCTTCCAAAAATTCTGAGCCATTTCCCCTCCTATCGGCTATCTTGGATACTAAAAGCTATGGTGCTTCTGTGGTACACACTTGTCCCTAAAAATGCTACATGTAAACGGTGGTTCTACTCTTATTCTTTTAGGCCATGGAGACTGTTTAATAACCCATTAGGCCTCTGTGATGATCATGCTTTGAATGTGGGATTCAACAGAATAATGGCCTGTATAGATAAGGAGCTATTGTTATGCCATTTCCATTTTTTGAGAACCTGTAGAGGGTTGACTTTGAAGACCTGCTTGAATTCTCATCATCTCTAGATGATTCTTAAACTGTCTGAGCAATGATTTTGACACAGTGATTTGGAGCTTGCTTACCACTCGGAGAAGCTCATTGAGTCAACTTTAATCAGCTGCTATAATTCACAAATTTTGGACGCATCCAAGATTTTGTATATCTATATATATATATATATATATTATTTTTTTTTTTATTTTTTTTATTTTATTTTTTATGGACTTCTTTTCTAATATAAACGGTATGAGCGGAATAGTAGGCATGTGGATTGATATGGTATCCAAGAAGGTTTGAATCTCCTCATGGTAGTAGATAGGTCCCCCTCTCTCCTCCTCTATAACTTGGAAAACTTGCCGGAGTTTTTTCAAGTTAACTTTTGGACCTGATGAATTGGATCAGTTCTGGCAAGACTTTTACAGGGTTTTGAACGCTTAATAGATACCTTTGGGAGTTGATTGACAAATTGTTCATCCATGAGTGTAGATGCCACAACAATCATTGCACTGAACACTTTCTTGACAAAAGTGATTTGTACCTTGATGTGCATATGGTATGAGCCTGAAAGTTCTCATAGGAAGTGATACTGGAAGCCATATTATCACACCCATGTGTGACTGGAACAAGCCTACTTTTTGCCTCTATTACTGCAACTTCTTATGTCCATTTGTCCTTATGTATTGGAATAATCTCCATATTGACTCCTGGAAAGTTTTGTGTGAGTTAACCCCTTACTTTCTGATTATAAACTTTAGCAGTGGTGCAATAAATAGTTTGAACTACCAACATTCAATTTATACAAATTGGGATCCATTTATAATTCTAACATTGAGTTAACCATGTTTGAAAACCCAAAATGTCTAGGCTGGACCTAGGCGAGCCACCGAGGCGCCGTGCACCTAGGTGGTGCCCTGAGGCAGGGAGGCCTAGGAAAGAAAAAAGCCCTCAGCTGGGGGCATTTTGGGGATTTTCCTCCCTAAAAAAGGGGAAAAGGGTTTGGGGGGAGAGTCTAGTCCCCCCAAACCCCTCTTGTGCATCCTAGAGGGAGAAAAATTCTCAAGAAACTTAGGATTTGAGATTTCTTGCAATATCGAAAAATTTCAACTTTTTCGATTTCTTGTGGAAACAACAGAAATACTTCGAGATGGTTTTTGGACTTTGGAGTGGCCGCATAAGAGGACCTTTGGGGGCCAAAGATCACCGGTTTGGGCCAATATTGGTCTCATTTTGAAAAGGTTAAAGGTTAATGCATTACAATATTTGAATTAAGGGTTGGTATTGTTTTGATAGAATATATTATGATTTAAGTCATTTGATATTCTTTTTTTTTAAATGACATTGTTACATGTTTGTAGTTGAAAGCTTGAAATGTTTTGTGAATATTTCCTAGTTTGGATCTATATTGAATTCGTCTTGAAATTCTTAGTGTAATAGAAAATTTGAATTAGGGTCTGATATTTTTTTGTATAATGTGTTATTGTTTGATATTTTGTTATTTTTTTTGTTTTTGTTTTTGATATTTTTACATGTTTGAAGATGTATTTGTCTTGGAAACTTTGAATTAAATTGTATTTTGTGAATATTTCGATCGCAACACCAAATCTTTTGGATATTATTTTATGTGAAATTATGTGATTATTATTTTTTAGATTGATATCATGTTATGCAAATGTAGTATACTAATTTGACATTTGAGTTATGTTGCAATTTGATGATGTATGTGTTGGTTGGGGGTTTGGGGGGGAGGGTTGGGTGGGGGCCAACCTGTCTCTGGCTGCCTAGGCGCCTGCATTTGACTTTTTGAACATTGCGTTTTGTCCAAAAGCAATATTTATGGCATAGAAAATGAATTGCTGGCTTAAACATATTCATAGAAAATGAATTGCACATGTTTATGCATAACTGCCCCTGGAGAAAAGGAATTGCTATGTGAACTTAAAATCAATGATTCAAAAAGTGCTAGGCGGTACCTAGGCGGCTGTGGGGGTCCAGGCAGCCCAGCGCTTAGGCTGGTGCCCAGAACTTGGGCGGCCCAGTTGAAAGAAAAAAGAAAGAATTTTTGAGAATTTTGATGTTCTATAATCTATCCATAATCCATATTTAATATTTCCATGAATGAAGAATTAAGGAGAAGTCGAGAAGAGAATTTTGATAATCCATGAGATCATAATCCATATTCTCATACAATGCTAAAGCAGTAAAACCATACAAGCATACACATACACTGATAGTCTGATACACACAAAAGTTAGATTGTAGAAACTAAAAATAAGAAAAAAGAAATATACAGTCTAGGACACAATATTCAACACTCAACAATCAACACCAAGAGTTAATCACTCAAGCGTCTTCAACTCTTTATTCTTTAGTCATCATCATCATCATCATCATCAGGAGTAGGGTAAGTCTCATCATATGTGTTAGATTTGATGCCATCATCATCAGAGTCATCTCCCTCTTCAACATAACGCTCTTCTTCCTCTGTTTCTTCTGAATCTGCCTCTTCTCCTCTTACTATGTGCAGATGAGGCCCTAGGAGTCTTGGACCTTTTACTATCTTTTTGTGCTTCCCTTTGAAGATCCTAGTAACTATGGGACGTAGTACTAGTAGTCCAAGCAGCCATGCTTCTGGTCTAGATATATCATTGTGAAGCTGTGGTATGCTGTGCGAAGA